TCTCTCTCTCTCTCTCTCTCTCTCTCTCTCTCTCTCTCTCTCTACCTCTCCCTTTCTTTCCCGTTACCTCGACTCATGTACTATTATGGCTAATGAAAGTTAAGTGGCTTTCCACCATCGGAATGGTCCGGGGAAGGTGCGACCTATATCTCTCTTTCTCTTTTTTTTTCTCTTTTTGATAGGTAGGGAGACATAGGTATTGCGACATTAATCAATTCTTCCGTCATGGTCACCGGAAATCTATCTGCATAGATATATGTATACGTGTGTAAACGAGAAGTGCTACTTCAACCGATGAGACACAACCGATGTCGATCGGTGGCGGCGTCAGGTACACAGGACGAGACGCGCGCGTGCACACACCACCGTTGCTGCTGCCCGCGTTCGCGGAGGTTCCAGCCCGAGTGAAAGCTTTCCGAGCAACAGCACGTTTGCGAAGGAGACACGTGTGAAAGATTCATATTTTCACCGCGGCTTCAGCACGAGCCAAAACCGAGGCGCGTGTTGTGCTGCGCGAGTCTCGTCATATACATAAACGATAAAAAGCTATATATGTATATATAAATCTCTCATCGGAATGATCTAAGCACGCTGCCGTGCTCTCTAAAACTTTTAGACTAAACTCAACTTAGAATCTCAACGTTTAAGAGTGAAGTCTCACTCATAAAGATTGAAAATTGAGCCACTTTTTCAAGAACTGGCTTAATTTTTTAAGTAAGATTCCACTACAAAGCGTTTAGAGAGCGAGCTCGAAATTATTTACATTAGGTGTACCTAAATCAAATGTACAAGGAGTTCGCTAAAACAGAAGTAAGTCAGGTTGATGCAAAAGATTCGTCAAATCGAAAATAAAACTCCAGCAAATTTGAAACGATTTGTTGCCATGGCTTCAGTTTTTTCTTTTTCATCATGAATAAGATTATTTAATTCTCTTAAAAAAAAAAGAAGAAATTCTATGATTTTTTTCTACTACAAAAACTAGGCAAAAAAATTTCTTGCATCAACCTATATATAGTTTTAGCGATCGCCGTCGTTTTCTGATTTAGAAGATAAGTAACGTAAGTGGCTTCATCACGAGACGAGAAAAATGCCTCGACCATTCCGACGTCGAGACTGCAAGGAAGATGGTGAAGACGTTGAAGGAAAAAAAAGATAAAAAATAAAAAGGACAAAAGAGAGAACTTAATTGATTGCCTAAGCAGACACTAACCTTTCCGCAATGGCGCGGGAACAGTGCTCTGTTTTTTCTCTCTTTTTCGCTTTTTCTCTCTCTCTCTCTCTTTCTTTTTCTCTCTCTTTCTATCTCTCTCTCTCTTTCTCTCTCTCTCTCTCGCTCTCTCTGTGTACTCGCATCGTCTCTGTGTGTTCACGAGAGAGCGCCGGCCCTTTGATAAGGGTGCTCGCGGATCTGACCCAGGTGCCTACGCTGCTTGGCGGCGGCCGCAGCTGCGCCTGTCGCCAACATATACACAGCATGAGTATGGTCAGCAGGACCGTCACTTCCGGCGCAAGATCACTTTTCTCTGCACGGATCCACAAGGGATCCGCCCGTCTCGGCCCGCTAAAAAAAATCTAGAATCCTGCCGCTATTATCAGTGCAAAAAAAAAACGACACACATCGGGGAGGGAGGAACCCGTATCACAAAGAATATTTTCCATCGACAGTATTTACCGTCGTTGATATTTACCGGCACTAATTTATGATATACTAGCAAGGAAGAATCCTTTCTTCTGTTTTTCTTTGTGCAACGGGTTCCGGCGACGACGTCGCTACGACGTCAACGAGACGAAAGCGGGTTGTTTCGACTCCGCTGAATACGGAAGAAACCACCCCTTCCGAAAGCGATCTGTTCGTGGCGACGTCGTAGGATTAACCCTTAAGTAAGCGCATGGGGGTCAGAGTCACTTCTTCTTCTTCTTAATCTCCTGGATGTACTTCCAACCCACCTAAAAAAGGGTTACACTACCATGAGTAAAAGGTAAATCGATGATGTTTAGCCTCCACGAGAAAGAGAAGCTCCAGAGCCACTTCAATCGCTGTATGATTTTGCTAGTGCGCCTACTTAAGGGTTAATGCTGATCGTTACCTCCAGTCTACGACCGACACACGAGCTCACGATCGTCGATGCGATCATCCCTCCACAACTATGAACACGAAGGACGCGGAAGCTACTAAATGCCTGAAACACGTGCGAAAATACTGCGAATACGGTAAAAATACTGCGAAAATACAATAACGCTTCTACACTCTAAGGATGTCCTTTCTTATTCTCAGCTTGAGCATTGCGAGCGTGGAATATGAGACACGTCGCTGTTCTAATTCGATACCGAGATTTTTCTGATTTGCTGCTCGATATTGAATAACTGAGATATTTTTGAGTAATGGGACTTGAAGGCACTAGTTTAAACTTTCCTCTCAAAGACATGACTTCAAGGATAATGAAATCAGCCTACCGATTTCACATTGTCTATTAATATCCACTCGCGTGCAAAGTACCTTGGGATCGCCATACTCAAATAACAAATTGGATTGGATGCACCAGTGCGAACTGCATATTAAAGCATACTGATTTAATCTGAGTGTAAAAGTGATATGCAAATATTTGGAATTATAAAATACATATTTTAGTTAACAGCACAATAAATTAAGGATTTCGCAATTTATACACAAGCACACATTTTTATTTTGTGTACGACCTTGTGCACTAATATGCATTGAGTGCGTCCAATCGAATTGAAAGAGTCGTATTCATAGTCGTAAATCAATCACCTGAAAATCTGATTGGAGCTTGGTCTAAGTCAATCTTTCATTTCAAAAACACTTCTCAACCCACAATTAATAAATCCTTTGAATCAAACCTAGTTCGTCTGAAATGTGGATCAATCGCGGATGATATACGACTATAAGTACAGACCTGAAAGACATCTCGATAGAGCAACGATTTGCGTAACATTCGACCGTGTTCCCCGTCCTGATCTCTCGTGAGCTCGCGTTCGATCGTACTCTTTAGGCCTGGGCAAACTTGCCTACCAGAACACTGTAAGAATACTGTAAATTGTCAGTGAAATCGTGCGTCTCTGAAACTCCATGTTAAAAACCTCCGCCTGCTCGGCAAGACGTGACTCCATCGGAAAGACACACATACTTACTTACTTATTTACTTACTTACTTATTACCTATTAAACGAATCTACCATATAGATATGACATCTCCCTTTTCGCTTATATCGACGCTTGTATCTAGGTACCTCGGAGAGATTTTTGCGCGTGCGCGTGTGTGT